GTTCCTATCACAGTAGTCCCATTTTACAGATCAGGTAGTAACTTTAGATGACAGTATGGGCAGTGACTCTGTCCAGCCCATCTCTACTGACTAGCTCCGGACCTAACACCCCATAGGCACCCGAGCTCTAGTAGCCCTTTGGGGTCTCTACCCCAAGAAAGAGGATGATGACCAGGGAGACACAGTGCAAAGAGCTCACTGAGAAATTCAGAAATCCAAGCCCTAAAACTAGTGTGCCACCAACTTTCCCTCCCAGAGTCTCTCTTTCTCCTGTTTGTTATTATGAGAATATTGGACAAACCTTCAGTGGTTTCCAAAGTATGAGGTGTGTCCTGAGTCCTTCATACATACATATTGTTGTTGTTAAGTGCCATCGAGTCGGTTCCTACCCATAGCGACCCTGTATAGCGTTTCCAAGGAGTAGCTGGTGAGCTTGAACTGCCAACCTTGAGGATCAAACTGACTTTGCAGTCTAATGCATTAACCCACAATGCCACACCAGGACTCCAAATTTCATCTTTCTTCCACAGAGCAACTGGTAGATTTGAACTGCTGACCTTGTGGTTACCAGCCTGGTTCATAATTCACTATGCTACCAGGAATATATATATATATGTTGTTGTTAAGTGCCTTTGAGTCAGTTCTGACCCATAGTGACCCTGTATAGGGTTTCCAAGGAGCAGCTAGCGAGTTTGAACCACTGACTTTGCAGTTCAAACGGCTTTGCACGCATTAACCCATAGCGCCACATGAGGACTATATATGTGTGTGTGTGTGTTGTTACAAATGTTCTTAACCAATATATTCTTAAAGTGCAACTTGTTTTTAGAGTTAATCATATTATACCCTCTTAACCACATGCTAAGTACGTTTACATGCTTTATCTCATCCAAGTGTCAGGCCTCTGTGAAGCGGTGGTCCTAGTCGTATGCCACCGAGTCGATTCCTACTCATAGCAACCCTGTATAGAGCTTCCGAGGCTGTAAATCTTTATGGGAGCAGAAGGCCTCATCTTTGTCACACAGACTGACTGGTAGCTTTGAACTACTGACCTTATGGTTAGCATCCCAGCTCATAATCCACTACGCTATCAGGCTCCTTTCTGTGAAGTAGGAATGTGTTGTACCTTTTCACAGATTCTTAGAAAGACTGAAACACTTACCCAAGATCATATACCTAATCAAAGGCAGAGCAAAGGGTGGAATCCAAATGGTCTGACTTCAGGGCTCACATCTCAGTTACCATACTCTAAACCCTGGTTTTGAAACCATCACCACCCACAACGAAGTGACCTCAAACATGCCAACTAAGTATTCAGTGACCCATCAGTCACCATATATGAGCCAGAAAAATGAGATGCCAAAATATACATACAAAATTTAAACAAGATGCACAGTCTGAGAGTATTTTAAGTTAGTCATTAAGTTCTGGAAATACTGTGTGGTTGGTGTTTTCCAGTTAGGTTTGCATTTGGGTTCTTAGGGTCTTTCCATAGTTGGCAATTTTGTTTCAATTACTACAAGTAGGTGGGAAACTTCAGTCTGTTTTTAAAAGGTCATTTCTCTGTTCTAACTCTTTTCATGAGCAACCAAGGAAGGTGCAAGAGAGAAAAAGGGGAAGAGCCACCTGTCATTTCTGGCTCATGGTCAGTTCAGCTTTATCTGAAAGTTGTTAAGTGCCGTCAAGTCAGTTCCAACTCATAGTGACTCTGTATAAGGTTTCCAAGGAGTGACTGGTAGGTTTGAACCACCAACTTTGTGGTTAGCAGTCCACTGCGTATCCTACAGCACCACACCAGGATTCTTATCTGAAAATGGATGGTGGTGGTGTACCGTCCATTCTGACTTATAGTGACCTTATATAGGGTTTCCAAGGCAGTAAACCTTTATAGGAGCAGAATGCCTCATCTATGTCCCATGGAACGGCTGGGAGTTTCAAACTGCTGACCTTTAGGTTAGCAGCCTGACTTGTAACCACTACGCTACAAGAGCTCCTTCTGAAAGTGGATGCCTGTAAAGAAAAAAAAGGGGGGAGGTGCATATCTGAGAAACCTCCTTGGGTTCTAGACAAATGAGCAGACCGAGAAACTCAGCTGAACAGAGTGAGTCTTTCCGGTTGTCTGTGAGTTCCCTGAGTGATATTCAAAGTGACTGCCAGAAGCCTGGACCATGAGTCCCAGCTGTTCATCCTCTGTCCAGGGTGAGTATCTGTCAGCATCCTCCCCACTTGAGGTCCTCACCGTGGCAGATGGTTGTCATTTGGTATTACAAACACTTCTCTGAGCACTATCTCAGCCCCCAACTTACACTTAGCACCTTTCACCTTGCACCTTCCTCTAACATGATCTTAGTGATCACAGAAGTAAACCCTAAAAGAAGGAAATCATTGTAGGGAAGAGGACAAGATGTTGAGGATTGTCGCCTAAACTCCTTTTTACCACTCCGTATCTCCTTTTCTATTTAAAGTGTTGAAGAGCAAAGATGTCACTTTGAGGACTAAGGTGTGCCTGACCCAAGCCATGGTATTTTCAATAACCCCATATGCATGTAAAAGTTGGACAGTGAATAAGGAAGACCGTAGAAGAATTGATGCATTTGAGTTATGGTGTTGGAGGAGAATATTAAAAGTATCACAAACTGCCTGAAGAACAAACAAATCTGTGTTGGAAAAAGTACAACCAAAATGCTTCTTGGAAGCCAGGATGCCAAGACTTCATCTCTCATACTTCAGACATTGTCAGGAGGGACCAGTCCCTGGAGAAGGACTTCATACTTGGTAAAGTGGAGGGTCAGAGGAAAAGAGGAAGATCCCCCAACGAGATGCATTGGCACAGTGGCAGCAGCAATGGGTCCAAGCTAACAATGATTGTAAAGTTGGCACAGGACTGGGCAGTGTTTCGTTCTGTTGTTTATAAGGTTACTATGAGTCAGAATCAACTTGAGGGTACCTAACAACAACATCTCCCTTTCTAAGTTCTAAGTCAATCAGACACATCAGTCTCTTCCAAATACAGTAAAAGTGTTGAGAGTCTGAGACAAAGTAGCCTCTGCTTTTAAAATGTTTACAATTTACAATTGCTCTCTAGGGGAGAAAAAGAGCAAGCATTTCTGTAACCTACCAAGTGGATGGGTCAGCAATCTCAATGCTGGAGGATGATGGGAGAGCATACTCTCTCGCGCCAGCGCCAGGACTCTGTCAGGAAATGGAGTTTAAACTCATCCTCCTCCTTGTACCCAGAAAAGTGGGCTGAATAGCCAACCCTACCAACTTGAAAGATCCCTGGTGTGGCACTGTAGGATAAGCCCTGGACTGGTAACTTCAAGGTCGGCAGTTCAAACACAGTAGCCAATCTTGGAAATCTATACAGCTAGCCAAGGAGCAGCTGATGGATTTGAACTATCAACTTTGTGGTTTGCAGTCCAGTGCTGAGCCTACAGTGCCACACCAGGAGTCCAACAAGCAACAGCAGCTATCATTGAACAAATTCATCATGTTTGGTAAGCAAACATCTTACAAATTTTGGAACCCATAGGGAAAACAATATTCAGAGATCCTTAGAGTAAAATGTTGAGGAGTCTCTATAGGGACCTATTTCAGCTCCAGCATCTGGGCCTCCTTGACTGCTCTGAGAGCAGGAATATATATATATGCCGGTACCCTAAAACCCTTGAAAGCCAGAACCTGGATCGGCACAAACCTATCAAAGATGGAAAGATTTACCAAAAAAAAAAAATATTTTCCTCACTTTAAATAGAGAGTTATAGAAAAAGTGGAAAACTTGTGAGACTCAGAAAAACAAGGCAGTCCAGTTAAGTTCTGGTTCTCACAGATTTCACTGTATTTATCTTTGTGGTCCAAGGACCCTCGGTGAATTTAAGAGTCATGAACTGTGCAGCAAGAAAGAACACAGCAGACTCAGAGTCCAAATGAAGAAGGAAGCATTGACAAGTTTGCTTGTAATTCAGAATGTTTAATATTTAGCTCCAGCTGAGTGAATGAATGAGTGAGTGATTCTTAAAAAGAACCATCTCCAGGAAACTGTATCTTTTTATTTGACTGTAGATCCTGAGAATATCCAATCCTGCTTTCTTGATGTAGGCAACAGACAGCTAGGCAAATCTGTTTTTAAAAAGAAGGAATAGAGGTATGAGGAAGTTGTTTTCAAAGTTTCTTTCATATGCAGTAGCCCCTAGAAGTACAATGTGTGCTAAGGTTTATTCTTTCCAAAGCATAGTCAAGAATTTGATCCCTCCCATTAACTCTAACTGGAGTCCTGGACTACAAGGTCAGTGTGAGCAGCAAGGTCAGCATTTCAAACCCACCAGTTGCTCCTCAGAAACCCTACACAGGGTTGCTATAAGTCAGAACCGACTCAAGGATGGCACTTAACAACAACAACTATTAATTCTAGTCAGTTGCCTTTGAGCCCATTCCAATGCCATGTATTCAATGCCATGTATCCAATGCCATGTATCCAATGCCATGTATCCAATGCCTGTGGAGTAGAACTATGCTCCACAGGATTTCAATGGCTGACCTTTCAGAAGTAGATTACCAAGCCTTTCCTCCAAGGTGCCTGTGGATGGACTCAAACCTCTACCCTTTCACTTAACAGGTTTGCACCACTCAGGAGCTTCCCCCATCCATTTTAGGAGGCAAGAAAGGGAGTTTGAGAACGTTGTCCTGTAATTTTGCAGATAGGAAAATAAACTCAAGAGCTAACTGACTCTGTCAAGGTTACATTGCAGTTTGTGGGCAGAACCCTTGATGGAGCCCTGGCAGCTTCTGGAGACTTCCAGGAAACTGCTTACTATCCATCCTTCCCACATGTTCCTTCCCCGTTGCCTCCTCCCAGATTCCACCGTAGTGGTCATAGCTGTGTAGCACATGTAGGGAAGGAGAGGAATTTGTGGATGGGCAGATACCCCTAAGAGAAGAAGATTGGGGGTGGGGAAAGGCAAGCCCAGCTTCAGGGATGTCCTACCAGCAGCTAAGGACGATCACAAGAAGGAGGTGTTCTTCAGGAAGCTCTCAAACATCTTCAGAGCCTGAGCAGGTCGGTATTGGGGCACCATGTGTCCTGAGCCCTATGCAGGCAAAAGGTAGACCTGAGTACTGGTCATCTTAAAGGTGTATGCTTGTCTAGAGCAATGGTTCTCAAAGTGTTGTCTCCTGACCAGAAACAGCTGGAGATTTAGCAGAAATGCAAACTCTTAAAACTCTACCTAGAATCTACAGAAACAAAGTTCTGGGTGGAGGGAAGGATACGATAAGCAGTCCTCCAAGTGATTCTGATGTGTGCTGCAGGATAATGCATTGGACCTCAAGGTCAGTTTGAACCATAAGATCGGTGGTTCAAACCCACCAGCTGCTCCTTGGAAACCCTATACAGGGTCGCTGTGAGGTGGAACCGAGTCAACAGCACTTAACAACACTCCAGAAAACATATTTTATAGACAATACATTTTTTAAAAAAACCGGAAAATGCAGCCAAGATTTTTTCTTCTTTTTTTAAATCTAGAGGTCCGGATGGAAAGAAGGTTTGGAAGCACCGAGGAGAAATGCGGAGACAGTTTGGGGCCTCTTAGGAAGGGTGCTGTTTGAATGGGGACTTGGAATTCCAGGGAAAGCCATTTATTACCCTAGTCACTAAGACAAGGCTTACAACAGTGTTTCTTATCCCAAGTCCTCTGACCTGCAGTTTCTTTCAGGCCCAGAATAAATCTGGAGTCTTAAGCCAGGCAGGATCCTCGTTAGTCCTAATTGAAGAGCAAAGAGCTTCTCTCTCTACCCCCAGGAGGACCCAGCCCAGACTGAATCCTGAATCTTCATTCCAGGGCAGGTCTTGGTTAAGGGGCAAGGTGGAACCCCAGCCCTACCTTTACTGTGAGGAAAGAGATCTTCTTGTACTCTTTAAAGAAGCCAGCCACCTGGTTATTCCAGTACCAGGGTTGGTAGGGGCTCACCACCTGGGGACCAAAGAAAAGGGTTACATGGTAACTTTGCTTTCCATATTCTCTGCAAAGGGATTCCTCCTTAAGGAAGTCCGCAGGCCAACTGACCCTCACTTGGGTGTCCTGCACAGCTATTGCTTCAGACAGCAGGAGAACATGAGTTTAGAGTTGGAGCTTAAGAGATATGGTTGTTGTTGTTAAGTGCTGTCAAGTTGGTTCCGACTCATAGCAACTCTGTAAAGTGTTTACAAGGAGCTGCTGGTGAGTTTGGACAGCCGACCTTGCGGTTCAGACCCACCTTTTGGTCCAGTACTTGTCCTACAGCTAGCTCCACACAAGCGATAACACTGTAACTCCCCTGGCTCTAGAGTTCCCACTTCCACCACCAGGGCAGAACCTTCATTTCTTCAACAAGTAATCACTGATTACAAGCCCACTATAGACTCCTGGTGTGGTACTGTAAGATATGTACTAGACTGTGAACCACTAGGTCCGTGGTTCAAATCCACCAGCTGCGCCTAGGAAACCCTGTACAGGGTCCCTATGAGTTGGAACAGACTCGATGGCACTTAACAACAATAACAATGGAGGAATATAATACACTGTGTACCACCCAGTGGACTATGAGCTGGGCTGCTAACTACAAGGTCAGTAGTTCAAATCTACCAATTGCTCTGGTGGAGAAAGATGAGGTTTTCTGCTCCTGTAAGGATTTACAGCATCAGATACCCTATACAGGAACTGACTTGATGGCGCTAAACAACATGGAATCCTGGTGTGGTGCTGTAGGATAAGCACTGGTCTGCTAACCCCAAAGTCAGCAGTTCAAACCCACCAGCTGTTCCTCGTTGCTGTTAAGTGCCATCGAGTTGGTTCTGACCCATAGCAACCCTGTATAGGGTTTCTGAGGAGCAGCTGGTGAGCTTAAACCGCCGACCTTAGAGTTCAAACGGCTTTGCAGTCTGGCACATTAACCCTCAGCGCCACACCAGGACTCACTATAACAAAACTGATTTCACTGCACTTAACAACTACAAATGCCCACTATGTGCTGGGGAAAGAGCCCTGGTGGTACCGTGGGCTAAGCATTGGGCTGCTAACCCCAAAGTCTGAGGTTTGAACCCTCCAGCTGCTTGAAAGGAAAACGATGAGGCTATCTGCTCCCATGAAGATTTACAGTCTTGGAAACCAGGGGAGGTGGTCTCCTCAGTCCCATAGGGCTGCATTGAGACACACTGGACTCCATGGCACTGAATCTATGCTGGGGACGTAGCTCTGAACAAACAAACACTTCAGTCCAGCAGTTCAACCACATCTGGGAGTGAACCCAGTCTCTGGGTCTCCCTCGGTTCTACCCTTGTAGGGGCCACTCAACAAGCCCACAAGCCCAAGTAGATCACTAAGACTTTACTCTGAGGTGCCTCTGGGTGACCTCGAACTTCCAAGCTTTCAGTTAGCAGCTGAGTATGTACCACGCAGGGACTTGTTTCTAAAACCCAAAACCAAAACCCACGGCCTTCAAGTCAATTCAGACTCATAGCAACTCTGTGGAGTTTCTGAGGGTCTAAATACTTTACTGGAACAGAAAGCCTTATCTTTCTCTCACAGAGAAACCGGTGGGTTTGAACTGCCGACCTTGTGGTTAACAGTCCAGTGTTTATACTATAGTGTGAGCAGGGCTCCCTTTGTTTCTAAAAGGAAGGCAGAAATTGTCGGGTTTCAAGTGCCAATGCTGGTAGGTGTTGATTGCAGGCTAACCTGGAAGCCAGCTATTCAACAAGGAATTGAACTGTGAGAGATGCTGACACGGGGGTTTTGGGAAGCCAGCAATCCAGTCCAGGGGTTCAGTGACATCCTGAGGATGTGAAAATTGTACAGGTTTGAATAAAACATGGGTAGCGGGGAGTACAATGCAGCCAAGATGCCTTCTGAAAGAAGGTATTTTTGGGTAGAAGCTTATTTGAGGCACTCTGGTAGTATAGTGGTTACGAATTGGGCTGCTAACCTCAGGGTCAGCAGTTTGAAACTACCAGCTGTTCCATGGGAGAAAGATGAGGCTTTCTGCTCCCATAAAGATTTACAGCCTCGGAAATCCTGTACAGGGTGGCTGTGAGTCAGAACCAACTCCAAGGCATATAACCACCACCACCACCCACCACCACCAAAGACCAAGAAGGCTGACTCTCTGGGAGATAACCAAGGGTCAAGGGTCAAGGGTGTGACAGGGAAGCCTTTATAGGGTTGGGTAGAGCAACTGAAGTGCTTCTATTTGCATGATCTTAAACTTGATGGATGGCAATTAGCAACAACAACAAAACCTGATATAGGAGTCCTGGTGTGGCTCTGTAGGATAAAGCACTGGACCACAAGGTCATTTTGAACTGCAAGGTCAGCAGTTCAAACTCACCAGGGACTCCTTGGAAACTATGAGTTGGAACCCACTCAACAGCACTTTACAACAAACAAAGACTGGTGTGGCCCTAAAGGATAACTTGTTATTCTGAAGTGCTGTCAAGTTGATTCCGACCCATAGCGACCTTGTATAGGGTTTCCAAGGAGCAGCTAGTAAGCTTGAACTGCCGACCTGGCAGTACAAATGGCTTTGCAGTAGGGTGCGTTAACCCACAGCGCCACACCAGGACTCCTCTGGACCACAAGTTCTGTGTGAAACGCAAAGTTGGCAGTTCAAACTCACCAACCGCTTGTCGGAAACCCTATGCAGGATCACTATGAGTTGGGATTTTGTTATTGTTAAGTCACAGTAACAACAATAACAAAGTCACATTGGCTATGATGTCGAGAAAGGACCGATACCCAGCTTGAGATATTCCTGGAGGCTCACCAAGAAATGACTGCAAGGAGAGGTGGTGGAGGTAAAGATGGAGGGAACTTTGGCAAAGGATGGATTGTGAAAGGTGAGGAAGAAGTGAAGGATGGCTGGCTACCTGATGCCTTTCCCTAGGATGAGACAGGGAGCCTGGAGGAGCCAGGGTGGGAGCAGAGATGGTGGGTTCAGAGCTTCAAGTATCTGTGATTCACCCAGGTGGAGGGATCAAGTGGCCTCCATGGGCCATCTCCCTCAGGGAGATTCAGGGGCTGGAGTCCCTTGACAGATGGGTTGAACTACTGGGGAGATTAAGGGGGAAACTTGCAGAGGCCCAGTGAGTCTGGAAACTGAGGGTCAAGCAGGGAGGTGTTGCCTATATCCTTGGGCTGTGTGACAGCTGGGCCAGTGGAGACCTCAGAGAGAATAGTTTCTCTCTTCAAGAATGGAGGAGGGGAAGCCAGATGGGAGCCGACTGTGGAGACTTCAAGAAGAGAGGAGCTGCAGAGGAGAGCTTGTGTTTTTTTTTTTAAATGAAGAGATTTGCACATATTCAAATGCTAATGAAGTTCTTTGGGAAATTAGTTCTTTCTTCTAAAGCTGGCAGAACAAGGTCTCCACCTTCTTTGTTCCCCAAACCAGTACCAGTGGCCATCTAGTCCACTCTGACTCTTGGCGACCACTGTGCTGAGTTTTTTGGAAGTACATCATCAGACCTTTTCCAAGGCACCTCTGGGCTGGCTTGAACCTCCAACCTATATGTTAGCACTTCAACCATTTGTATACTTCAGGGACTCTGCTATCAAAGAAAGGAAGAAATATTTGGGCTTTAATCACCTCACTAACCCTCCCACTCCACATAACTCCTCCGCAGGCCAGAATGCAGCCTGTTAACGCTCTCTTCATGGACCCTTGAGAGAATTTCCCCCACCCCACCCCCAGATTGCAGTCTTCCAGAAGGATGAAGGGCTGCAGCCCCACATCTCAACTCCCAGACCTCCCATCATCCACCCTTCCCAGAAGGGTGCTGCATCCTTACCGGCTGCTTCAGGGCCTCCACAAACCTCTCTCCACCCAGGAAGTTGCAAGCCATGTCGGTGTCCCCATTGTAGACTAGGGCTCGGAGGTCATACTGCAGCAGCTCCTGGTAGAAAGGGGTCATGTCCATGTACTGCCTCTGGTACTGAGAGGTAACCTGGGAGCTATAGGGAAAAGCAACAAGGATGCCCTGAGACTCAGGAAAACAGAACTCGGGTTCCTGGAGCCCCTTTTGAACCCTGCCTCTTAACCAAACAAGATCTCTACACATGGGCCCTCAGAAGGCCCCTCGAGCCTCTGCCCTGGCTGCCCAGTTCCCTTCAGGCTCACCTGCACAGTTCCCAGACAGGGAGGGTATCCGGGATGTGGAGGGCCTGCCTCACGTCGTTGCGGTTCAGCCACATGTACATGGCTGTGGCGTTGATGCATTCAGGGACCCCAGGGACAGGACCATCAGGAGGCTGGAGGGGACAAGTGTTCAAAAGCCTCAGATATAACCTGCCCCCAAGTCATCATTCCATGGTCAAAAAAAGAAACCAAACCCCTACTATCAAATCAGTTTCAATTCATGGCAGGGTAGGGTTTTCTTGGCCTTAATCTTTATGGAGTTCTTGAGTGGCACTCTAGGATAAGCACTGCACTGCTACCACAAGGTCGGTGGTTCAAACCCATCAGTCACTCCTTTCTGAGGGTTACTATGTGTCAGAATCGACTCAAAAGCACTTAACAACAATCATGTTTATAAAAGCAGGTCTCCAGACCTTTTGTCCATGCAGCTGCTGGGTGGGGTCAAACTGACATCCTTTAGGTCAGTGTTATTGTCATTATGTGCTGTGGAGTCAGTTCCGACTTATAGCGACCCTGTATAGGGTTTCTAAGGCTTTAAATCTCTGTGAGCTGGAAACCTCGTCTTTCTCCCTCGGAGTGGCTGGTGGGCTCGAACCCGTGTATTTTTTTGGAATGCGGTTCAGTGCTTATCGTATATATAAGAAGCCCTGGTAGTGTAGGGGGTTACACACTGGGCTGCAAACCTCAAGGTCAGCAGTTCGAATCTACCTGCCCCCACTATACTGGGCACTACACTATCCTGAGCAACTTCAGGCTGAGGCCATATTGTCCCCAGAGCAAGGCTGCCCTGGTACATAGAGTACCCAGCAAGCAGCAGGCCTGAGGGTGCCTCCAGGAAGCTGGAGTGAGGTCCCTGGGGTGCTACAGTCTGGGCTCTGGAGTCGGGCTCCTTAGGTCAGTTAAGACAGTCCCAGGTTTGATTCCTATAAGCTTTAATTCCTCCATCTATGAAATGGGTATAATAATACTACTCACCTTGTGTGGACTAAAAGATTTCTCTAAAATACTCAGTGCCTGGCAGAGAGGAAGTTTACTTAGTCTAGTCAGTCAGTCAACAGACAGTACTGAGTGCCTTCTATAGGTCAGATACTGGGAATAAAACCATAAGAAAGCAAAGTTTCTGCTTTTATTGATGGTGCATTGAAATTGGGGCAAGCAAAGTAAATTAATGTCAGGCCTTAAGGGCAGCATGCAAAAGAAGGAAGAAGAACCAAGTGCTGGAGGAATGGAGAGAGCAACGGAAGTGGGCGAGGGTGGGGCTGGGGGGAGGTGTAGAGAGCTCTTTTTGTTTGGGGACACCTCTCTGATAGGTATTCCAACAGAGACCTAAATGAAATGAGGGCAGAAGTCCCATGCAAATATCTGGTGGCAAAGGTTCTGGGTAGGGTATGGGGAAACTTATGTGAACTTGCTCACTGCAGATTAGTATGTAAGCACCAGTAAGCCTGCATTTACCTTATTGAGTAATCTGCCCATGGGACTTGGACTTTCATCCTTTTAAGCATGGGGGATTTTGAGCTGAGGGTGCTAAGGCTTGACCTTAGTTTTTATAAGCTGCTGCACTGAGAAGAGACTGTAGGAGAACTAGGGTGTCAGAAGGAGTCTCTGAATGAGGAGGATCTTTGAATAGTCCAGTCGAGAGGTAATAGTGAGTTGGACTAATTACAAAGACAGAGAAAACTTTTACCTATAACAATAATTTCAGACCAAGACCTAGCCCTCACCACCCCACATCCCACCCGACCCATCACTTACTGGGGTGGCCACATTAAACTGGTATCTTCGGAAGAGGTTGCTCATGTCAGAAGTATAACGCCCCTGGTAGCCATGTGACCCCCAACAGGGTGAATACAGGTTGTAGATGTTGAGGCCAATATCCTGAATCATATTATAAGCTTTCAAGACCTGCAGAGAGAAATCAGCCTGAGTTCTTGCCAGGGTTAAGGGTAAAAATACAATTTGCTATACTTCTAGTGAGTCACTTTTACACACAGCCTGATGCAATGCCTGTGGACATGAGCTTGTGTCCACAGGCCTCTTGGGACCATAGGACACATCCATCCCATACCAGGGCACTACTGAAATTGTTCTCCACAGGAAGAGGACTGTCAAGTATCAACCAGTTCCTCCAAGTCAAAGGGTTCCATTATGCTTTGGGAACCAGGGTTCATGAGTTTTAAAAATTTGGCCCATTTTGGAGTGATCCTCGCCTCTCATCCGTCTATTCCTCCACTGCATGGCAGCCAGACCACTTGGCACAAATCTGCATTCAAGCACCCAATAAACACTGACAGTTGCTGTCAGCTACTTCAACTCATGGACCCCATGTGTGTCAGAGTAGAACCGTGCTCTATAAGGTTTTCAGAGGCTGATTTTTTGCAAGTCACTCACCAGGTCTTTTTACCTCTGATGCTTCTCATTGCAACCTTTCAGACCTCCAACCTTTCAGTTAGCAGCTGAGCAAACTATGAAGACCTGAAATAGCTCCCTCTCTGCAGTAATCCTTTATCAAGGGTCAAAAGGAAAGCCCAAGGCATGTGCACTTTTGAGATTTCAGCAGTGGTTAATCAGGACCCGAAGGCCCAGGACCAGCCCAAGGAGCAGTCACGGCTCTGGCCATCCATTCCAAAAGTGACACCCACCGCCTGCTGTTGATTTCCAAAAGACAATCCAGGGCTGAAACTGGCACCAAATCATTCTTTAATGTATTTTTAAAAAAATTTGTTGTTGTTGCAAATTCACCAACTCAACCATTTTTAGATGTACAATTCAGTGATAGTGATTACATTCTTAAACTTCTACAACATTCTCACCCTCATTTTCAGAACTGTTCTTCCCACATTAACTCACTGCCCCAAGCTCACCTTCCAGGTGCTCTTGCTAATTTGATCCTATATAGAGAGTTCTTGAAAGAGCACAATGCAAGGGAGAGGAGTAGAGTGAGGGACCCCACCCAGAGAAGCAGTGAAGTCAGAGATGGAAGCATAGACAATGACGCGGAGAGATGGAGCGGCTGGGGACTCTAGACCCAGGGAGAGAGAAGGGCTGTGTGCTGACAACCGAGGAGCAGGCTTGCAGGGTATTATTGTTTGACGATGCATGGAGGGAATGGTACCATAGCAATGAAACGAAATACGACAGGATGAATGTAAAGCTGATGTTCTCCCATGTAAACTATCACATAATTCACAATAAAAACTTCTGAAAAAATGGATTCAAACATCAAAAAAAAGAGAGCATAGTGCTCAAGGTAGTCATATTTATCCTCAGAAACCCTTTGGAGCTGATGTACTCTGGCTTGTAGGGTTGCTATGAGTCACAATTGATTCAAGGGCTATGGTTTTTTTGTGTTTTTTTTGCTTGTTTGTTTAAGTGAAACTATTGGATTCCTGGTGTGGCGCTATAGGATAAGCACTGGACTGCAAACCACAAAGTCAGCAGTCCTAACCCACCAGCTGTTCCTCAGAAACCCTACACAAGGTCACTATGAGTCAGAACCGGCTGGACAGCACTTAGCAGCAGTAACATAGTTTGGTTCTAAGATCTCTGGGGATATTTTTTGCGCCAAATCCGTTTTGAAATGAAACCAGAGTCAATTCAGAATTGCCCTAGGGTAGCTCATTTGTATTCAGAGACCCACACCCTTTTGAGTGGGAGATAGGGTAGTGTAATAAAAAGTAATGCTGGGAGATTCCAAGACAGTCCTGTCTCCTGAGACCACTTCTGGTGAATATTATCTCTGACGTGGTTCAGGACTTATCTGCTGAGTGTTTTGCTAAGGCCTTTGCAGAATGTCTTCTTGATTAGGGCAGGATAAGGGGCAAGGTCCATGACTCCTCTGTCAGTTTGTTGTGTCGTGGTGGCTCGTGAGTTGCTGTGATTCTAAAAGCTATGCCACTGGTATTTTAAATACCAGCAGGGGCACCCATAGTGGGCAGGTTTCAAATGAGCTTCCCAGATGAAGACAGACTAGGAAGAAGGAGTGATGAACTACTTCCAAATATTTAGTCACTGAAAACCTTATGAATAGCAGAGATACAGCACTGTCAGATAAAGCACTGGAAAATGAGCCCCTCAGGTTGGAAGGCACTCAAAATGCAACTGGGAAAGAGGGGGCTTCTCAAAGTAGAGTTCACTGTGACGAAGGTGGAGGGTCAGAGAAAAAGAGGAAGACCCCCAGCAAGATGGATTGGCAAAGTGGCAGCATCAATAGGCTCAAGCGTGGCAACAATAGTGAGGTTGGCCCAGGACCGGGCAGTGTTTTGTTCTGTTGTGCATAGGGCCGCTATGAGTCAGTACTGACTCAATGGCACCTAACAACAACAAGGGGCAAGGTGGAGGAACCTGATGGAATGCCTATTCTTGGGCACAAAAAACCCTGAATTCTTACCTTCCAGCGGCCTCTTTCTGGCTAGAAAGTCTTGAGGTAGTTTGTTTTCCTGTCTGCAAGTGGGGATAATAATACATATTCTATTCGAGACACACTGAACTTCCATATTGTTTTTTGAAATGAGGGTTATCAAAAGAAACTGAGTCAATAGTAAAACGTATCTATTAGACGAGATTTATTTTGGACAGAAGGTACCAAACCACAAGCCCACATGGAAAGGCACTCCATAAAAGTATCAGCAATGATTGGCTAAGATTGCCAAGAGGAGGAAACAAAATAAGCTTATGTTTGATTGGCTTATACAAGTTATTATTGAAGCACTGATCCTGATGTGGCACTGTAGGATCAGCACTGGACTGCTAACCATAAGGTGGTGGTGGTGGGCTGTGGAATTGGTTCCTACTCCTAGCAACCCTGTATAGGGTTTCTGAAGCTATGAGTCTTTATGGGAGCAGAAATCCTCATCTTTCTTCTGCGGAATGGCTGGTAGCTTCAAACTGCTGACCTTGAAGTTAGCTGCCTGACTGATAACCACTAGCCACTAGAGCTCCTTAACCATAAGGTAGTTAGTTCAAACCCACCAGCTGCTCCTCGGAAACCCTTTACAGGGTCTCGATGAGTCAGAACCGACTTGAAGGCACTTAAGGAGGAGAGCAAGACTGCAACACTGCATTTTCTTGCTCCAGGAGACTGAAAGCACTGTCAAAATCTCATTGATCAATGAGGATGGCCTGACCAACAGGAAAGCTAGGCTTAAATTCTGGTAAAGACCAGGTCTTTAGGGCATTGTCCACTCTACCACTGATGTCATTTTGTTATCTGCATGATGTAATTTTTATTTCACTTAATATATATGTTGCTGTTGTTGTTGTTGTTATGTGCCGTGGAGTCGGTTTCGACTCATAGCGACCCTGTACAGGGTTTCCAAGGCTGTAAATCTTTACAGGAGCAGAAAGCCTCATCTTTCTCCCGCGGAACAGCTGGTAGTTTCGAACTGCTGACCTTGCGGTTCACAGCCTGATTCTTCAAAAAGCTCATGAAAAAAAATCAATTTTTCATACCATTTTTCTACAAACATTTTGAAGCCCCCTCGTGTGTTATATTTGGAATTTAAAAAGCAAAAATAAATTTTAAAACTAAAACAATAATGCGGGTGTAGCACTGAAGGATAAGCACTGGACTGCAAGGTCAAGGTTTGAACCACAAGTTTGGAGACTCAAACTCACCAGCCGCTCCTTGGAAACCAATACAGGGCCTCTATGAGTCGGAACAGACTGTGGCACTTAACAACAACCACAACCAATCTGTCTACTGTACAGGGTGGTTGTGCTGCTCCTATGTGGAAAAGCCATGCTTTGTGTATCGTGAGGGTGTGTGTATACAGCACGGCACACTGGGCTTCCCCAGCTCTTCTTTGATCGGCTGTTTGTCATTGAAGAGAAGAGAGCCTCTGTCTTTACACCTGCCACCAAGGAGAGGGTGACTCACCGCATTGAAGCAGTTGTTCTCCGTGTTACTGAAGAAGTTGCATGTGCCTTCAGAGCAACAGTACGTTTTGAGGGATTCCCAGAGGCTGTTGGCAGAGAATACAGAGTCAGGAGCAGCCACTCTATTTCCTGCTTTATTTCATTCTAAATCAGCCTGTTTGGTGGCCTTCCCTGCCTCTGGCCTAAGGGTGGTGGAGTGCCACCTGCCTCAGAGGTAAACATGCCACAAGGTATGAAAGAGAAGGGCTTAAAAGAAGACGGAGCTTACTCATCTCCAAAGAGGCCGTGGTAGTATCCGAATTCCAGCAGGGTATCGTCGTTCAGCTGGTAGTTACTCATTCCATTTCCCACTCCAAAGCCCTGAAACCAGAAGATAAGGAAATGGTGGGAAGTGATCGTGGCTCCCCTGTACTGAGTGCATTCTGTCTGCCAGGTCTGCTCTGAGCCTTTGATATTCAGCATCTCCTTTATTCCCCAGAACCCTGTGAGGCAGTGCTTCCTATGCACACTCCCATTTTACAGATGAGGAAACGGAGACCTGGAGAGGTTAATGAGCTTGCTCACAGACACACAGCCAATCTGTGGCAGACCCAGATGGTGTGATGGCCAGACCTATACTCTTAGGCATTTGACTATACTGCCCCCTGCAGGATGAACACAGAACCATACTCAGAATCCCAGAACAGCTGGCCCCCTTTCAGAGGAACATAATTTATAGATGGGGAAACAGAGGGGAAAGGAGACAAAGATCAAAGGAGGAGCTTAATCTCTATCTGCCAAATATATCTCAAATCTTCCCATTTATCTCCATTTCTCATTCTAATCACTGTCATCTCTGTCTGGATCAAAGGTCCATTCTGGCTCACAGCAACCCCATGTGTTGCAGACTGGAACTGCTCTCTGGGGTCTTCTTGGCTGTAACCTTTTCTGGAAGCCGACCAATAGACCTTTCTTTTCATAGAGTTGCTGGGTTGGTTTGAACCACAAATCTTTAGGCTACTTGTTGTTGTTAAGTGTCGTCAAGTCGGTTTTGATTCATAGTGACCCTGTATAGGGTTTCCAAGAAGCAGCTGGTGGGTTTGAACCGCCAACCTTGCATTTAGCATTCCAGTTCTTATCTTACAGCACCACACCAGGTTAGTAGCAGAGCACAACCATCTGTGTCATCCAGGGCCCCTTACAAATAAATCATACCCTCCTTGTATTTTCCTTACTGCCCCTCATAACTCATCCTTTTGCTGAAAGTCCTCTAATGTCTTCCTATAAATTCATACAAAGTCCCAGACCCTTCCATTTGCTTACAAGGTCCTCATGATCTGCTCCCTGCCCACTTTTCCACCTCATTCAGGTGGGACACCTTTGCTCACTCTGCCCTAGCCACAGTAACTTCCTTCCTCCTGCTAGATTCCGACACCCGTGGTAATCTGCTGACACCTTGCCACTTGTTTTTCTCACTGTCTGGACCACTCTTCTTCCAATGTTTCTTGCAGTTCCTTCTCATTACTCAGCCCATCTGACTCCTTCTCAACCCTGCTGTCTATTGCGGCTTCTTATTCCCATCACTGTCTTCACAGCATCCTCCTAAAGAACCTTGTTTATACTCGCATATATGCGTGCATGCATGTTTATTGTCTATTTCCCTCCACCTAGAACTTCAGCTCCATGAAGGCAGAGATCCTGTCTGTCTTGGTCACTCCTATATACCCAGTGTCAAGCATACACTTGAAGAATAAAGGAAGGAGAGAAGACCAAGCTAAAGGACAAGGATTTCCAGCCACTGCTGATTTTGGGTTCTCCTTAGCCAGCAGGAGAGACTTACCTTGAAGTTGAAGGACAATGAACCCTTGACAATTTGTGCACTCAGGGAGGGGACGTACACACCCCCGTAGCTTTCTCCAAAAACATAGAAGTCATGGTTGGCAAAAGTTGGAAACTTTTCAATGAAGCTCAGCAGTGCCTGGTAGTTGTCAGCAGCCACCTGAACAGAGAGGAAATGGGGTCTGAGGAGCCGGTCAAGATGGAAGAGAAACATAGATGGCATCCCCTACTCCAACCAATAAATCACATCATGATCAGTGGAGAAAAGATTGAAGTTGTCAAAGACTTCATTTTGCTTGAATCCTCGATTAATACTCATGGAAGCAGAGTCCAGAAATCAAACAATGTATTGCATTAGGCAAATCGGCTGCATAAGACTTCTTTCAAGTGTTCAATAGTATGTCAGTTTGAGGACTAAGGTGCACCTGACCCAAGCCATGGTATTTTCAATAGCCTCATATGCATGTGAAAGCTGGACAGTGAATAAAGAAGACTGTAGAAGAACGGATGCATTTAAATTATGGTGTTGGAGAAGAATATTAAAAGTACCATGGACTGCCAGAAAAAAAAACAAATCTGTGTTGGAATAAGTAGAGCCAGAATGCTCCTTAAAACCAGAATGGTGAGGCTTCATCTCCATATTTCAGACAGGTTATCAGAAGGGACCAGTCCCTGGAAAAGGACATCAAGCTAGGTAAAGTGGAAGGTCAGTGAAAAAGAGGAAGTCTCTCAATGGGTCTTGGCATAGTGGAGACATAGCAATGATTGTAAGGATGGCGCAGAACTGGGCAGTGTTTCATTCTATTGTGCATAGGGTCACTATGAGTCAGAACCGACTTGACAACACCTAACAACAGCCACAACACCTGCCAGCCTTCAGAGAAAAGGAATTTCTTCGCTAGGGTGTATGGCTGGTTCAGCATCAAGGTTAGAGGAACTGCTGCTAGAAATGCACCTTTTATCATTCATCATGGATTCCAGTCACATGGCAAGACTTTTAAATGGAGTGAAGGCTCCACTTGTCAACTGTTCTAATCACACACACAACATGCCACTGACTAAGCTCTCATAACAGAAGCCATCAATCTGAATTTTTAAGTGAAATATTCTAATCTTCCAAATTGAAGTTTTCTCTTCTCCAAACTCCCTGCAGGATAAAGCAAAGATGGCCATGGACCAAGTGCATGCAGCCACCAGCCTCTGGTTCACAGCCTTTGGTCTAAGGAGACATACTGCATCTCCTTTCTTCTTCCAATTCTCCTTCCTTCCCTCGTCGCCCTTCTTTGTCTCTCTCTCTCCCTAGCAAGCATACTTATCCTCTCTCTCTCCCTCCATTTTGTTTTTCTGCCTTTCTTCCTTCCCTTTTTAATCTCTTCCCCGTCTTTCCCTTTCCTCCTCCCTGTCCCTACTTAGAAACCCAGCCACTCACCTGCTGGTCATTGATCTGGTAGTTTTGACTGAGGGAGTAGGAGTAACCCACACCAGCGGGGGACTCCAGGTACAAGACATTGGCCACCAGGTTCCAACTGTGTGGGTTTCTGTAGAGAGATCCATCAGCGTTGATCTGTGGAAGAGGGAGATGGACAGAGGTCTTCCGGGCTGCAGGGACCAGGGGCAATGATGAGGTGGAAGGCAGTGCTTGTCGGGGCTGTTGCCTGACAAGATGGTAGTGAGGGAGGGGAAGCAGAAGTGGGTGCCCAAGTAAGGGAGCAGATGGCTCCAGAGCATCTTGCTGCCGTTCCAGGAGAGAAGTCAGCTACAATTCTTTCTCCCTGTATCTTCAAACCTTTTCTAGGGAGAATCTTTCAACCTCCAGAACAGCATAGGCCATTCCTAGTGAAAGTCAAACTTTGCAAAGGGTTTTCTTCCTGAACCTCAACCAATATGGCTCCTTACTGATGGTGTTCTTGGGAGAGAAGCATTGTGGGGAATAATGAGAACACTGTATGTACTAATATTATCTGCCAAGTCCTGTGCTAAGTATTCTATGGGAATTACCTTATTGCTCTTCACAGCAACTTTTGTGATGTTGTTGTGTAGTTAAGTGCCATCAAATTGATTCTGGCTCATAACAACCCTGTACAGGGTTTCCAAGGTTGTAAATCTTGTGGGAGCAGAAAGCCTCATCTTTCGCCCACAGAGCGGCTGGTGGGCTCAAACCATCAACCTTGTGGTTCACAGTCCAATACTTATCCTACAGCATCACAGCACTCACTAATAAATCCTTATTGAAATTAATTTTAATATGCCTATCGCCAACTCACCTAATGTTCAGGACATTTTTTTTTTTTTTTTTGGATTTACCACTAATTTATTCAGTTTAGTTATCTTCATGAAAAATAAAACAACAACAATATTATAATAATTCTAAAATTTCAGTTTCTCTTCTACTTCAAGGTTAAAGAGCCATTAGCCCCTACCTTCATTATATAAGCCTGCATCTGAATCCCTCTTGTTTTGGTGGTAATTTTTTTTGAGTTGTTTTATTTATTTTTTTATTACCTATATTTTATTATTTACTGCCTTTTCCTTCACCCAAATTAATACACATCTTTGAACCACAAATTCAGCAGTTCAAATTCACCAGTCACTCCTCAAAAACTCTCTACAGGGTCATTGTGGGTCGGAACCAACTTGATGGCACTTAACAACAGTAACTCTCTAGTTAGTGATTTTTAGGTATTAATATCTTAAAAAGACTACTTCTTTTTCTTTTTTTTAACTTGAAAACCTCAGTGTAAACATGTCTGATTTGTTTTGGTAATAAAATTTGTCTTGTATGAGTGAATTCCTTCTTTGCATTATATTTGAAAAACTGAACAAGAAAGAAGAGAAAATCTGGTTCTTTAAGTAATTGTAGGGACCAGCCGCTGGAGAAGGATGTCATGTTTGGTAAGGTGGAGGGTCAGAGAAAAAGAGGAAGACCCCCAACGAGATGGATTGGCCAAGTGGCAGCATTGGTGGACTCAAGCGTGGCAACAGTATTGAGGTTGGCCCAGGATCGGACAGTGTTTCGTTCTGCTGCTGTGCATAGGGTCGCTATGAGTCAGTACTGACTCAATGGCACCTAACAACAACAATAACTCCATCGACCCTTCCTTTACTTTGCCTCTAGCTCTGGATCCTGGTATCCCCATCTAGTGTCCCCACCCACTCTGGGAATGCTGAAGGACACTGGCTCTTTGCTCAGGAGGAAGCTTGATAGCATAGGAAAAGCAATGGAATAAAATGAAGAGATCAGGGTTTAATTCCAGACCAGACACTGACTTTGTGCAAGTCACTTAACCTCTTGGGGCCTCAGGCTCTTCAGCTGAGAGTTACATAGGTCCCTCCTGATCCTTAGGAAGGATCTGTCTTTAGGGTATGTATGGCCTGACACCTTCACGTCTTCCCAGGGCCCAGTACTTTTATGATAGATTCCATTATTATTGTTCTGAGAAAGCTGAGGCCCAGACATATCTAGTAAATGGCAGAGCTCACTGATGTTGTTGTTGTTGAGTGCCGTCGAGTTGGTGCCGACCCATAGTGACCCTGTACAGGGTTTCTGAGGCTGCAAATCTTTACGGGAGCAGAAAGTCTCATCTTTCTCCTGCGGAACAGCTGGTAGTTTCAAACTGCTGACCTTGCGGTTTGCAGCCTAATTCATAACCACTATGCTACCAGAGCTCCTTAGAGCTCACTGATAGATCACATCAATTTGTTCCCGTGGCACGTACTATACCAAACTTCATAAGCCTTTACCACACTAATATTGTTGCTGTTAAGTGCTGTGGAGTTGTTTTGACCCATAACAACCCTCTATAGGGTTTCCAAGGAGTGGCTGGTGAGCTTGAACTGTCAACCTTCCGGTTCAAACTGACTTGCAGTTTGAACCAGCACATAAACCCACAGCGCCACACCAATACTGTTTTATACAGAAGAAGAAACTAAGGTCTGCAGAGGTTAAGTCAATTGCCCAAGCTCCACATTGCTGGGAGTTGTTGCCGATGGGACTTGCAGGGCCTCCTACTGATCCATACAGGTCAGCTGACACTGTAGCGTTTAGTAATGTTCAGGATGGTTTTCTTTCCAGGAGATTTTCCTTACCAGATGCTACAAGGTCCACAAGGCAATAGATCAGTGAAGGAGTTGAGATCCAGAGAAGAGTAGTAATAGGCCCAAGGAAGCACTGGCTACAATTCAAGCCTGAATCCAAGTCAGAGCTTTTCCACCTTACTCTGACTCTGACTCTGACTCTGAAGTCCCGAGTCTTCTTTGCCCCAACCTTTACGTCCTGGCACTAGGGCACCCTCGGGGGCTCCCACCTCAGCTCTGGCATGGATCATCAAGGAAAAATTAGGTCAGGTGACAGCCCGCCCTCTTGTCCAACCCCAGGAAGTCCCTGTCTTACCCGGTAGGGTCCATTCTCTGCCAGAAGTCCCTCCAAGGAGCTACAGCCAGGGCCGCCATTCAGCCAGAGCACCAAGGGGTCTGAGGCAGGGTTCCCCTGGGATTCCACAAACCTGCAAGAGCAAGAAAAAAGCTTCTGGCACTGTCCCAGGGTGGCTGGCAGGACTGGCTTCATGTGCAGTACATGGGGCAGGGGGTGGAGTCAGAAGGTCCCAGGTCTTTGTGTAATGTTCTGCTGTCATGATCTTGAAATTCTTAATAATATTTGGACAAGGGGCCTTGCATTTTGATTTTGATTTTGGCCCCAAAATTATGCAATTGGTCATCTGGGTCAAGAAACTGTCCACAGAGGAAAGATGAAGGCAGCAGAAGACACCGGAAGGAATAGAAGTAAATGCTTTTAACTGATGGTACATGGAGGAGATTGCAATCATTATAATGAAACGAAGTATATGATTTGTTGAATGGAAAACTAATGATCTGCCCTGTAAACCTTCACCCAATTTACAATGAATAGTTTTTTAAAAAACAAAGAAACTGCCTGCTACTTGGAGATGGGCCTCCTGCCTCCTCTACCATTCTCAGTAGGCCTGTGTTGGCAAGGGAACATTGGGTTCTCTTTGTTTTTCAAAGCCCTTACTGAAGACTATGGAGTCCTGGTGTGGCACTGTACGATAAGCGCTGGACCAAGTTGGTTTGAATTACAAGGTCGTGGTTCAAACTCACCAGCCACTCCTCGGAAACCTTATACAGGGTCGCTATGAGTTGGAACCAACTCAACGGCACTTAACAATAACAACAGTTAAGCCTGCTAGCTGTGCTGGTCTCTGCAACTGGTTTTTTGTTGTTGTTTTTTCATGTTTTATTGTAAATTATGTGATAGTTTACATGGGAGAACATTTAGTTTTACATTCATCCTATCGTATATGATTTAATTACCGTGGTTACAATCCCCTCAATGCATCATCAAGCAACCAAAGAGTATATACTTCAAGCCTGCCCCCCAGTCATCAGCCCCTCTCCCTCTCTGGGTCTAAAGTCCCCAACTGCTCCATCTCTCCACGTCATCGTCTCTGCCTTCATCTCAGGTATCACTGCTTCTCTGGGTAGGGTCCCGCTCTCGGCTCTTCTCCCTTGATGGTCCCAGGGACCTCTGCTCCTAGGCTGAAAAGAATCACTCCCCTCCTTGTGACAAAACATCTGCCACTGGTTCTTGACTTTATGGCAGCCCATCAGTCATATGTGAAAGGAAGAGAGTGCTGGAGGCAGGGTTTGCAGGACCATTAGTGGCAAGCCCCAACCAGAGCCTCAGGCTCTCCAAGTCAAAAGGAGCTCAGCAGTGTCTGCTCCAATTCCCTCACTGTAGAGGAAGTGACACTGAGACTCCAAAAAGGAAAGAGGTTATGAGTGTGCTTCTGAGTTTGGTCCCTGGTCGTTGTTAAGTACTGTGGAGTCGGTTCCAACTCATAGTGATCCTGCACAGGGTTTCCAAGGCTGTAAATCTTTACAGGAGCAGAATGCCTCATCTTTCTCCTGAGGAACTGCTGGTAGTTCTGAACTGCCGACCTTGAGGTTAGCAGCTCTATTCGTAACCACTACGCTACCAGAGGGTGGACAAAGAGTGAAGAGGAGTCTTCACTTAGCACTAAACCAAAAACCAAATCCGTTGCCATCCTGTTCATTCGGACTCACAGGGACCCTATAAAGCACAGCAGAACTGCTTCATAGGGTTCCCATTGAGTCAGTTCCAACCTTTAGCGATTCCATATAGGGTTTCCAAGATATAAAGATAGACTCATCGTTCAAAGTGGCTGGGATTTGAACAACAGACATTGAAGTTAGCAGTCCAGTGCCTAACCCAGAGCACCAGGTGTCCTCAGGAGCCAGACTGGGAGCCTACATGAAGGGAGTGGCCAGGTTGGAGCTTTAGTGGACTATAGAGCAGGAACCCGGCCACTCCAGCCAGTGGTTGACAAACAGGAACAAGGACAGGGGCTGCCTGATATTCTCGTTTCCCAGGAAAGCTAGATGCCCAGGTTTCTATGTGCTTGCTCTCAATTCCATATAAACACACAAGGACTTCTTTTTACAACCCCAGGGCAAGAAACTGGGGATGAAAAGGCTGAGGACAATATAAATTGCCAGAACTAGGAGGGACCATGAAATAGAACTGTCTTATTTCACAAATGCGGGATCAAAGACCAGATGGTAGGGAGACTTGTCCTAGGTAACGTGGCGGCAGCCTTGGTAACCAGGCTTGGTCCAGAGGAGGATTTCAATGTCCCTAGGTGGAGGTAGGAGTCCTGGTGTGGCGCTGTGGGTTAATGTGCCAGACTGCAAAGTAAGTTTGAGCTACAAGGTGGGTGATTCAAGCTCACCAGTCACTCCTCGGAAACCCTATACAGACACATGGATTCCTCCTGAGGGCTCTCTCCCCCAGCTTCTGCTGACAGCCAAATGCCCTTGCTGTTCCTTGACTTGTATATCTCTCCAATCGCTGTCTCTGGCTTCACACACTGTCTTCCTCTGTGTCTCTTCTTCTCTTGCACAAGAAACCCCCAGGATTAGTGGTCTGATCTATACCAGTATGATCTCATGCTAACTGATAATAACTTCAAAGACCCTATTTCCAAACAGGGTCACACATATTTTTTGGGGTAACAATTCAATCCATAATAGGAAGGTAAGATCATTGCTCACTGTATAGAGTTGTAGGGTGGGGCTGAGATGTGCCTAAATGTAGAGAGAGAAACATACAAAGGAAACTCCTGGTTCCAGACTGGGTTTTCTCTGTAGCTGATGGAAGCCTCCCTATATTTCCTAAGCTATAGGTCAGCAGCTGTCTCTCTTGGGTGTGATTAAAATTCAAATTATGTGCCATCATTCAGTGTTTCCCAAACATGCCAGATCCCAAACATCTGGGAACATAGCAAGAATTATCTGGAATTGTTTACTAAGGACAGAGATTGCAGGGTCCCACCCCAGATGTACTGATCTGAGGAGGTGTCTAAGGTTCTGTATGTTTATAAGTTATCTTCCCTCACTAGGACTTGGATCCTTCCTCATGTTAAAAAGGTGTTGAACTAGAACAGGTTCTGAGATTTGGAGATTTCGTGGATGAATGAAAAGATCTTCAATTTTCTCCACCCCCACAAAAAGAAAGGTGAGCATTTTATTTTTCAAAAAACTTCATTTCTACTATTGCCATAAAACAGTTTAATTACCTTTCATAAGATAGTTTGAATACTGAACAGTAGGAAGCATATAACAAAATGAAGGTCAGTCTTTTCAAGTAAGAATAGCTAGCTACTTCTTCAAACCCCAAATCAAACCCACTGCTGTGGAGTCCGTTCCAACTCATAGTGACCCTAGAATGTCTCCTAATGTTCCCAAGCACTGGGCATCTTTGTGGAAGCAGACTGCAACTTATTTCTCCCACAGATTGGTGTGAACCACTGGCCTTTCAGTTAGCAGCCAAGTACATTAACCACGGTGCCACCAAGGTTCTTTTCAGCTACCTCTTGTTGTTGTTAAGTGCCATCAAATCAGTTCTGACTCATAGTGACCCTGTTTAGGGTTCTGAGGAAGGGCTGGTGGGTTTGAACTGCCAACCTTGTGGTTAGCAGTCTAGTGCTTATCCTACAGTGCCACACTAAGGCTCCAGCTACCTCTGTTGTTGTTGTTGTTAAGTGCCATCGAGTCGGTTCCGACCCATAGCGACCCTGTACAGGGTTTCCGAGGGTGTAAAGCCTCATCTTTCTCCCGCGGAGCGCCTGGTAGTTTCGAACCGCTGACCTTAAGGTTCGCAGCCCGATTCGTAACCACTACGCTACCAGAGCTCCTTCCAGCTACCTCTAGTGGCACATATTCTGTTGTTCTTATTTGTCTGACTCTCCATGCACTGGCATTTAGGAAATATGGGCCATGGGCTTTCAGGTTCACTGGCTCCAAAGTTCTTATCCAAGGTCACCTGGCTACCTAGCAGTAGGGCAGTGAGCAGGACACCCACCCTCGGCAGTGATCTGACCACCCTGGTAACCTACTCAGGACCAAAGCACAAGACTCCCACCTTTCCAGCCAAGTGCCAAGAGGTTTTGAAGACCCAGCAATCCCTGTTGGCTTCTACCATCCTCCTGGGGTGAGCCCCTCACCCCTTAGCTGCTCACCAGTAATGGAAGTATTTGCCCTGGCCAGCCTGGAGGTAGCCGGACCATTGTCGAAAGTTGGGCTGAGTAGAGAGTCCAGGCAAGGATGTGATGAGGTCCGGAGCATACTGGCCAGAACCCAGGCCAAGACACAGGCAGAAGAGGGTGAGGAGAATCGTGGGCAGCTCCATGATCACAGACAAGCTGGAACAAAGAGCTGCAATGCTCCCAACAGGCTCCACAGACCTTTATAAGCATGGGACTCTTTGCTCTGGTGATAACCAATGATAACCAGTAATTCTGGGTCAGCGTAGAGCAGGCCACCAGGAGATTAGGGACTTCATGATGAATGCTATCAAGGCTTCCAAGCTTTTTCATCATGCTTAGCAGAAACTCAGCATACCCCCAAGCAACAGCCCCTCCTCTCCTCCTCCCCATGATAACTAATAGTAAACAATGATCTCTAGACATTTGCCAAGTCTAGATATTTCATGTAAGTGGGATAATATATTTGTCCTTTTGTGACTCACTTTTTTCACTCCATAATATTTTCAAGGTTCATCAGGGTTTCCTTTTTCTGACCACATTTTGTTTATCCATTCATCTGTTGATGGACAGTTCGGTTGTTTCCACCATTTATTTATAGTGAACAGTGCTGCCATGAACATTGTTAGCTGTCTTAATGATACCTTAATCGTGAATGTTAAGTTCTTAGCTTTAATAGTTCAAAGGATCAGTCTTTTTCTTTACTGTTATTACTTTATTTATTCTTAACTTTTTAATGTGAATTGAGTGAAGGTTTATAGACAAGATCATCAACTTGACATTCAACCAATCCTACACTTTGTTTCATCTCAGTGATTGTAATCCCCTCCATGCAACAACAGTTATCCTGCTTCCTCCCTGTGCTTCCTGGTTGCATTCCACCCACTTTCCCATCTTTCTCAACTTTGTCCTTAGGAAAACGTTGCCTTTTTGATTATTCCATGGTGAGTGTTGTTGTCCTCTCCCTATAAACCTATCTATTGCTTGGCTGAAAATTGGGCCATAAGGAGTGAGTTTTTTTCCAGACCTGAAGGGTGGTTGAGGGCCACAGTCTCTGGTTCCTTCCGTTTCTTTCTGACCAGTAAACCCAAGTTTGTTTGTTTGTTTTGAAATAATTTGGAGTTTTGTTCCACATTTTCTCCCACTCTATCCGGGACCCCTCTAATGTGATCCCTTTCAGGACAATTGGAAGTAGTATCCAGGAGCTATCTAGTTCTTCTTGTCCCAGAGTCATAGAGACTGAGGTTCACATGCTCCATTAATTAGTCCATTGGACTAATTGATTCCAAGCCTCTTCAATTCTTATCACTCTTCTTTCTTGCGCATCTCAGTCATCCATTCATGAGCTTTCAAGAACCCAGATGCTACTCACCAAGGTAGGATGTAGAACGTTGTCTTTGTGGACTATGTTATGCCAATTGACCATGCTGTCCCCAGAGACAATGGTCCTGAGTCCCCAGGCCCAGCAACTCATTGCCTTAAGATGTTTGATAATACCTGAGACGTTTTCATCATTTTGTCCACTGTATGCAAAGCTGTTTGAATTGCAAGGTCGGTGGTTGAAGCTCACCAGTTGCTCCTAGGAAACCCTATACAGGGTCGCTGTGGGTTGGAACCGACTCGACGGTGGAGCAACAACATGCTCCACCACATTCATAGTTGTGTTTGCAGGAAAGGTAAATACTCATGTACAAATATCCACTTTCAAACGCATATATTTGTGGGATATACAAGTATATATATATCCCACTCTTCCTCCCTTACCCAGTCTGTCCATGTCTCAATCCAAGTATCTACACACAGAATACTGTTGCTCCAAGGCTGAGTATATATCACTAGTTACCTCTACCCACTTTATCCCAGGCATACCTGTGTCTTCACCTGTCTTCATCGTTCTTCTGCCAAACTCCCTTTTCTTGTTTATTGCCACCCCCCCCCCTTCTTGTGTGTTGTCCTCCCTGTCACCGAGCTAACATGTGTCTATCTTCCAGACAGTGAATTACTCTTCCCTCCCTCTCACCCCTGGAAACTATCAAAGAATGTTTCTTTAGTATGAAAATCTTTTACGTTTTCACAATAATGGTCTCATACAATATTTGTTCCTTTGTGATTGACTAATTCCATTCAGCATAATGTCCTCCAGGTTTATCCATGTTATGAGATATTTTGAAGATTCATTGTTATTCTTCAAAGTTGCATAGTATCCATTGTGTGTATGTACCAAAGTTTCTTTATCTGTTCTTCCATTGTTGGGCACTTAGGCTGTTTCCATCTTTTTGTGAATAGTGCTGTGATAAACATTGGTGTGCACACATCTGCTCGTGTCCTGGGTTATATTTCTTCTGGATATATACCAAGTAGCAGGACTGCTGGGCCATAAGGTATTTCTACTTCCAACGTTCTGAGGATGTGTCATACCATTTTCCGCAGTGACTGAACCATTTTACAGTCCCACCAGCAATGTAGTCTCTACACACCCTCGCCAGCATTTGTTGTCTTCTGCTTTTTTGAACTTCTCTGCTAATGCTGGTGTGAGATGATATCTCAATTTTATTTTGATTTGCATCTCTCTGATGGTTTCCTGGTATGGCGCTGTGGGTTAATGTGCCAGACTGCAAAGCCATTTGAACTGCAAAGTCAGTGGTTCAAGCTCATCAGCTGCTACTTGGAAACCTTATACAGGGTTGCTATGGGTCAGAATAGACTCAACAGCACTTAACAATAACAATGGCTAATGATTGTGAACATTTCTTCAAGTTTGTTGGCTGCCTGAATGTCTTCCTTGGCGAAGTGTCTCTTCTTGTCCTGTATGCATTTTTAGTTGGGTTGTTTGTCTTTTTCTTGTAGAGGTGTTGCAGTTTTCTCTAAATTTTAGAGACTAGTCCCTTGTCTAATATGTCATTGAAACAAATTTTTTCCCTGGTCTATGGGCTCCCTTGTTATTCTTTTGGCAAAACCTTTTGATGCACATAAGTGTTTAATTTTTAGGAGGTCCCAGGTATCTATTTTGTCTTCTACTGTTGGGTTGTGTGTGTAATATTTGATAGTGCATTTATGCCATGTTTGTCCTTATTTTTTCATTGATGACCTTTAGAGTTATAGGTTTTATATTTAGGTCTTTAATCCATGTTGAGTTTGTTTTGTTGGTACTTTCTGTGTTCTGTTTAAGAAATGTTTGCCTACCTCAAAGCCATGAATTATTGTCCTACGCTATCTTCTAGAAGTTTTATCATTTGACTTTTCACAATTAAATCAGCAATCCCTCTGGAATCATTTTCTGTGTGTGCTAAGCAGCAGACGATAAAGTTCGTTTGCTTTGATATGGCTATCTAGGTAGATGAAGTCAGCCTTGAACTGGTCTGGTGTGGAATGATTCCTGGACTGGGAATCAACAGTTCTGGGCTCCAGTTTATCCCTTCTGCAGGTTTACTTTATGACCTTGGGCACACTCCTTTCCTTCTTTGGGCCTCAGTTTCTCCCATTGTGAATTAAGGTGCTTCTGTTGGGGGCGTGAACTTAAGTTTCCTTCCCCGACAATGAAATTGCTTCTATGTACTACCTCACACCTGACAAAAGAAGCAGGTAGAAAAGTGGATACTGAGAACATGTAGCAAGAATTAGAAGTTACCAAAAAATTACCTGTATATCACATAGAAACACAATAAGAATAAAGCCCAAGATGATACTCTGTTCATATTCGGATTTCCATAATATAAGTGCCTTTAAAAAACTTTTCTTCAGTGTCTGTATTTTCTAAAACTTGTACAATAAATATTGCTTTTATAAGAATAATAATTTTTTTAAACTGTTAGAAGATGGAAAGAAGTCTGAATTAAGATAACAGGGATTAAAGTTTAAAGAAGAACTTCATTTTTGTTGTTGGTAGCTGTCACGTCGACTCCACTTATGGCAACCCCGCCTGTAGAATAGTAGAATAAACATAGCTAAAGAATGAATTAGGGGTGAAACCCCAGGTCAAGGAACTCTCCAAGGCCCCCATATTTTACATGTGGATTTTTAAAAATAGCAACATATTGTCTACAAAAGATGCTTTAAAATATCTAAGATTGAAAATAAAAGTATGCAAGTTCAAATCCAAAAGAAAACCATGTTAAGTAGCAATTTTAACATCAGACAAAATAATATTTAAGATGAAAACTATCAAAAAAGATAAAGAAAGGCTTTATACATTAGTAAAAGGGCCAACAGGTAAGAAAGATATCATAATTCTGAGCATATCTGCATGATATATGAACCATCTTAGACTCAATATTTATAAAATAACAATTGACAGAATTATAGATTTAAAATAGTTACATCAGCTCTTGGAGTTGGAGATTTAATATATCCATCAGGGAACATATCTAGTGTAGTATACAGACATAGACATTTTTTAAAAAAAGATAGGTTAGAAATAACTGTAAATGTTGTGAGCTGCCTTGGAATCTGACTCATGCGGGCCATGTGCACAAGAGGATCAGATCATTATGATCCATCAAACCTGGATCTCACACGGAAGATGAGAATTCTACCACTGAGCCATCACTCTCCAAGTATAAATACTAGTTCCCTTATTTTCTTCCCAAGACCCTGGACAGCCCCTTGTGAGCCTTTGGGGGTGCCTGTGCTGGACACCAGTATCCTCAAAGTCTGAGCCTTGCAAGTGGCTTGTAAAACTGAGAGGACAGAGGTGTGGGCACAGGTGAGGGTCTCTGTTTCCTGGAGAGGACCCTTTGTGTGATTGCTCCTGACCCAAAAGGAGCAGGAACTGTCCCCACATCCAGCCAGAAAGGGACCCAGGAGCCTTGCATACCCACCACCCTTACCTGATGAGCACCATTGAAACTTGCTTTTCTGCTAGAGCGACCGTGGCAGGAACCACTTAAGACCTGTTGGTGGTGGGGAAGTAAACACATCTGTGACGCAGGATTGGTGCAGGACTGGAGTTGCAGCTAACATGAGCCCAACTGGATGGGAATTCCCAACAACCAGCAGAAAAACAATAAGAAACATTTCCTTTCCCTGGGCTACACACAACAACGCCACTTCTAGCTGAAATAGGAATGATTATGATATCGTGTTGTTGTAATGGTTACATGGGATAAAGCATGACATTTGCAAAAAATGACTCAATAAATGGTACACT